TTGCTCTGCATTATTTCTTTAAATGGTTCATAACAGCTTCATGTGACAGATCTGCTGTAAATTAGCTTGTTAAGAACTGATAATGGTTCTGTTATTGATTCGAAGGAACACTGTGCAGTGATTGCTACTCTTTTCAATTCGTTCGGTGAAACGGGCCATGTTAAGTGACTGCTAGTGTGAAATGTAAATTAACAAAAGATTGAATTGGACGAGAATTTAAAAACCATTCTGATGTATGCGGCAGTATTATGGAATAATGTCCTACAGTGATATTAAACACCAGACTTGGTGAACAAACATTGGAACCAAGCCAAGTAAAATCTGCTTAAGATAAAAGAAACATTCGCTAGAACGCGTATTAACTTTATTGAACGCATGTTTCGTATGCTGGTGGTTTCTCTTCATCACCACTAAATACCGGCAAAGTTGTGTTCTGGCCTGCCATTACTTCAGCGTAAGAAGATGGCGGATCAGATAATTGTACTGTAAATTGAGGTAAACTATTTCTACTTGCCGGATTAGCTTGATGACAGTTAATTATATTCCTAGCTCTACGACGTACTGAAGACACATTCCATTCCGGTATGAATGACCGCCCCTGCATATTCTGTAGATACAGATTATCATCAATATAATAAGCAGGAAACCGATAACATTGATAGCTATGGTAAAAAAAATAGCTAGAATTTCAGTGCTAGCTAATGGCGTTGTATCATTGAACATGTCTGTAGAATGATCCATGGTAAAGTTTGAGTCAAGCAAATAACTCACCTCTGTTATTGCTTGGTTTATGCCTAGTGATGAGTTATTATTGCTGTCCATTTTTATAGTGCTCAGTTCTTTTTCTCAGCTTCTTTTATGCTGAACTAATTAAGCACTTTTGTTCAATATTTTCATTTTTTGTGCGCTACAGATGCAACAAATGAAATGAATGGATCGTAATTTGGTGTGCATTTGATTCTGTGCAGAATTCATTTGCAGCGCGATTTGTTGCTCTTAATGATGTTTTTAGTATAATTTAATTAAAGTCGTAATTGAAGTAAAAGTAATTTCATTTAATTACAAGGGCGTTCTCGTAAAAAATTACCAAATTGTAGAGAATGCATCAAATAATTTGTATAGTCAAATATGATGCACATCAAGACCACAGATTCAAACATAGGTTTGTACAGAAGAACCGGTAACCTCGTTAAATAATGGTAGATATTTTGAGTGCCTCGTTTTTAAATTTACAGCATATAAATTATGCTCTTCACATTTCACCAAAAAGTGAATGAAATGTTACAGGCAAAATAGAAAATACACGAGCAATTAGTCTTTTAATGGCATGTCATAAAATGAATTTTGATATGTTCAATATGGTAAAGGATGTTTGTTGCGTTTAATAAGTGCCGATAATAATTGTTTTATTCACACAATACGGTATTGAATATAATTCTGTTGATAACTTATTAAACATGCCCAAATTTTGTGAATCAAAGTGATAAATTTGAAGAAAAATAACTATGGACGTGTCAAGGTGTCATAGCCAAGTTATTGATTCTGATTGTTTCCAAAGCACACGAACTACAATTTCTTTATAGATTTCTTGTAAGTTGAAGCTAGTCATAGTTCTGTTGGCTATCAATCTATGACTATGTTCAAGTACGGTGTAAATACTAGAACAAGCATTTGGATCGACTACAAGCATAATAACATGGATGCATTGCTCGTGCTGCCATGAACTAATTTACAGTTTTCTTTGTCCGCTTGGTTTTGTATTTCTCAATAAGCAAATTTTTAATTCCCGGTGTGTGTTTACAAAATAACTCTAGCAGTTTGAGCTGCCATAATGACCAGCGATAGAACAATGTTGTTACAATTTATCAAAATAAGCTTTTCTTCAATTCTCAATTGTTTAAGGTTGTTTGCTCGATCACAATGCTCTTCTGCACAATTTTCAGACAAATCCATTTTTAACTCACTCAAAATGCCTTCCCGACCTGTTTTGCAGTTAATGTTAGAGTTCACATTACCAAAAGGTTTTCTTGGCCCGTTCAATTTCATTGTACACTTCTGCGAACTTACCATGTCTCTTCGTTAGTAACTTTGCGATCGTTATTCAAAATAAATTACATCACTTCAGTTAAACAATGCTGCTCGTACGATCTAAAGCATTTCAAGTATTCACAGAAATATTTTATTTTGCAGTTCAATAGAAACATAGGATATTTGGAGTATTGAAGCAATAATTATATTTAACCTTGAGAAAGCTTCTTTCAATGCGGTGGTATAGTTGCATGCGTTCTCTTAAACAAAATTACCGAAAGGTACACGCAATACTAGCTATATTCTCATATACGTTGACCAAGCGAAATTGTAGAACAAGTCATCAAATTAGTGTGACTAATGATGTTAACATAGCAGATCGAATATATTTCCTGGTTTAGTGAATTACTCTGAGTTGAATAATACTCAAAAATAGATGATCGGGCACACCAACACGTTTCCATCTTACAATCCGGAACTTGATTTGATATCAAAAGAAGAAATTTAGAAATGTTGAACCTGGTGGAACAAGTATAGTTCAAAATCAATAAAAAGCATATTGTGAAGTATTCTTTTTGACTCTGATTGTATGTACTTGATGCGTTTTCTGCAATACTCGAAAAGAACTTCATAGTTTTACATGATGTCGTAGATTGGTATAATGCGAACTATGAATAAGAAATATTGATTTAGAACTGTTGATAAGATAGGACAGGTAGCTTAGTCATAAATCAACAGAAAACTTGCTGACCTGGAAGGACTTGATGGTATAAGGTTACGATGTTTCGCAAAAATGTACCAGAATCTGAAGAGTGTAGTGCGAATGAATCCTTAAATGGTGGACTTGGCGAGGTGTGTAATATGTAGGGATGCAATATTAACATCTAATTAAGAAAATGAATGATTATCTGTCCGGTATACGTATTTTAACTGTTAAATATCGCTGTATTAGAATGTTCTAATTATTGCCTGTTATTTGCAGTAATGAAAATTGGATTAATTACCGAAATTTGTTCAGAACTAATTGTAGCTAATAAACCGATCAAATCATGCCAATTACCGTTTGTTTTAATCTTTAGCTATGTTAATGCGGAACATATTTGCACATTATTGGGTGCATTTGATTTGAAAGTCGTAGTTTACCGGGTTGTCTTTCAACTAATGTTTTTACCAATTTTAACTTAGGTGAAAGTCTACTCATCGTAATCAGATGAGCTAAAAATTTACAGGTTTGGTGTAAAAAAGAGTGCTAGCAATTCTATTGCATGTTCGCAGCACTCATGATGCACTCAGCAGAGGTGATACGTACCATTTGTTTGAGCTAATCCTTTGATCTAGCGTACGAAATATTATTTCTTTAATAGCACAGTATAGTATGGTTTATCGCAAAAACATACCAAAATATCGTTTTATTCAACACAATGATAGCATAATTCACCACACTGTACCAACGATAAAGTATTTACAATTACATTACGTGGTATACACCAATAATACAAATACATCAGTTTTTTAACGGCTTAATACATTCTCTGAACAAGCCTGCTCGTCTGATCTACAAGCTAACACATTTGCCATTATTTGTATTTCATATTTACACAATATCATTCTACCACATCACTTCATCCTTTTGTACCACGAGCCACACAACCATAAATTATACTTTTACTTGAACTGAGGTTTCTCCACCGGATGCAGGTTAGCCAGGAAGAAAATACCCCATGAAATATACGCAGCTATGAGCGTTCCACACACCACAAAATTAGTGAGTTGCTTCTCCTTAACCTTAAACCTCGACACTGCCACTCTGCTGCCGTATATCGTGAGTATTAGCACGATTTGTGATACAAGAAAGTAAATTAATGGAGACATTGTTATTTTCTGGGGTTCAGTATTTTTTGTTATTGTGGTGTAAAGGAGACGAATCAAATGACGTGACCGTGTTGTACGATGAGAGGGAGATAAAAAGCGTGTGGAAGAATTGAAATGAATTGCACAGTTTAACTTATGATTGTGCTCAGCACCGTTGTGCGTAGAGTATCGTAATAAGTGATTGCAACAATGATCTCTAAAGCATTTCAAATGGCCACTCTTGTTGGAACAAGATTAAGCAATTTGAAGTGCAAGCGGAGGTGCACTTGCATACAATTAAATTTGTTATGATCCGCCATTTAGCTAATACTTCTAAGATATTAAATATAAAAACCTCTTTACGTGCTGTATTCGCTGGCGATTTCGTGTCATCTCAATTTAGTAATAAAATGCCCACATATGTCAATCTAATACGCAATCTTTCCACA